GTTTAGGGTTTAGAGTTTAAGTTTTTCCGGGATATTTTAAAAAAAGATCCATGAGGGCATGGGGGCTTTCCATGAGGGCTCTGTAGGCAGGGTTTGGGGGTTTAGTTCAGGGCTGGGAAGGAAGTTCATAAGGGGCTTCGGGCGGGTTTAGGATTGGTCTTGAAGATACCAAGAGCGTGTGGCGTTGAACGACGGCCAGGTTGTGAGCTGCAGTACATCTTGACATCCTGGATGTCGTTGCCAGAGATGCGAGATGCTCTAGCGGGCCTGGTGATTCCGGAGGGTGTGTGGCCGAATGCCGACGAGCGGTTCGAGCCTTGGACACTTCTTGCTTTATCCGTTGCAGAGCTGGAAGCGCAGATACGACAACGGCGCGGCAGAGTAGACTATCATGCTTCACATGCGCTGAGGGATGCTTGGGCCGATGCTCTACTCAGCCGACCCATCGCGCGTGTTTTCGCAGAGACCCCGAGCCTGCTGACCGACATGTTTGCTTTTGGACGGCACCTCGAGGAAAGCGGTTTTGTTCGCTGGATAGATAGGTTTCGTGAAGTTGCAGAGCATGTTGTCGCGCTGGTGGAACCGGAGACTGTGCAACGCTGCTTCGCGACGCCACACCCAGAAACTCAGAAACTTCTGTGGGAATCTTGGTGAATAAAAATAACTTGTCGGTGCCTCTGTAGTGTTTCTGTAGTATGAGATGATCGTCCACAACGTGTTGTATCCATGGTCTCTCGGTAGGAGACACCCAGGAAAGCGTGCGGAAGAAGATGCCCCAACGCGGAGCGAGAAAACTTGGCGGTTGGGGGGGAGCCGTCTGCTTCTGTGAGCTTCTGAAAAAGGGCCTTCCTCGATGGTGCTGGGCTGGCAGCATCCCGCCTTTCGATGACAGTCTCCTCCAGTACATCTTGGAACCCACTTTTGATTCTTTTGATGAATACCATCCACACCTTAGAGACAAAGATGCAGACCAGGGTAGACTTTGCATCGCCGTAGCCGAGCGCCTTACTCTTGAAGAGCTGTGCTACCAAAACTCGGACGGCCGCTCTGCACTCAGCTACGCCATTGAATGCTTCCCAAGACACGGGGCCAACCACCCTCCTTCAATGCAAATCTGGAAAGAGGTGCGGGATGTCATCAAAGAGAACATGGTGCAGCGGTTTAGAGCCGAGACAGGGCCGCTACAGAACCTGGCCTCCGCCTTGCAGAGGCTGCGTAGAGAAGCACTTTCTTCCCGTTTTGATGAGTGTGACCTCGACGATTATAAAGACGTCATGGCCTCATGGGATGAGCACCTTCGAAGCCTGGCAGCGGATGGCCATGCGCCTGCCGACTCTGCAATTCTGCAAGGGCTTGGAGGAGTCTAGAGTTAGGGTTTTAGGGACCGAAACATTGAGAACATTGATGACTCGGGCTGATTTCTAGCATACTTGGCATTTGCCTTTGACTGTTACCCTCAGGATGTACATTTGATAGCTATCGGTTTTGATGCATGACGCCTACCGGCTGTCAGGACCACTAGACTAGTAGATTCTAGCCGTAATGTCGGTGACGAAGGGACCGTCAGCTTCTACTGCAAACCTGGATGTGCCCCTGCAACTTAGAGCCCTAAACCCTATAGACCCTACAAACCCTAAAGCTTCAACCCCAAAATGGAGAACCTGAGCCCGAGAGCCCCCGACGCCAAAAGCTATAATAGGGCCCAGCTCCAAGCCCCCTTTTAGCGTTTAGGGCACCTCCTTGAACCCCCAAACCCTAAACCCTAAACCCTAACTTAACGGGCAGAGACGTGTCCCAAAACAAAAAACCCACACCCTAATAGGGGTTGGGACTTAGCTCAATGCAGGATGCTTGGTGGGAAGGCTGGCGTGACTGGTCGGAGTCCTGGTCCTGAAAAGGTAGAGGCTTTAGGCCTAGGGGTTTGTACGGGTTCTATGAAGATGCAAGATTGGTTGTACAAGGGCTCTATAAGGGTTCTATGAGTTCGAAAAGATTCTGCACAGGTGTGTTTCAGACGAAGGGCTGGTGCTTGAGTTGTAGGGAGCCGCGAGTTATCTTGAGATGCTGCAACTTGCATACAGAGTTTAGGTTTGTGGCTGCTCGTGGCTTCATGAACGTGCTGAGGACTGAGGATGAAGAGGGACAAAGGATTCCTAAGAGCCAAATGATGATTGTGAAGGCTAGTGCACTGGTCTTGAGGTTGCCACAGGATTAGGATTTGGGGGTCGCCATCATGAGGATGAGTAGGTAGGGGAGGGAAACGATGTTGACGAGGCTTTCTGGACGGACCATGGGCCCTCGCTCCATCATTTGTGTGTCGCCTCTCCTCTCATGTATTGCCCAATAAATCCTCAAAGTGCGACTGAACGAAGGACAGTTCTGGGTGGTGGTCAAACAACTGGGAGTGGCATGACCATCGATCTGAGTGGGAAGGAGGCCGCGGTCCAACGTGGCAGCAGGAAGCATGGCAATCCCGTGAGCGAGCCGCGGTTATGGCCGCTAGTCCAGGCACGGGTACTTGGAGCCCTCAAGCCCAGCCTTTCTTTTTCAGTGTCCCATGCAGGAGCAATCTGGCTGGAGGAGGGGACAGCCAAACTTTGCCAGAGCAGGAACAAAAGCAGCAATGGTGGCAATACGTAGCAATACTTGTGGCAATGAAATTGGCAAGAGCAGATGACTCAAAGTTCGCGAAGCAGCATTTCTTCGCCGGTCGCCGGAGCTGCGAGCATTGGCGACATCCATTTCCCCTGAGCTCTTGTTCTCAGAGTCTTCTGTTTCTAGTTCCCGCCGCCCACGTGTCCAAGAGCTCGGGTAGGACGCACCTTGCATGTCTCGCATAAGAGCCGACAGCAATCCACAGGATCTGCCCTCGTTTCACTCTGCAATTAATTAGATGCTGAGAAGATGACGAGATTTCATGCCCGGCAATCGAGAGCGTGGTCGTCTGCTGCCTCGACGTGCTGTTTTCTGACTGCTGACAGGTTCTACTGTACGTCGCTTAAACAGTAACATGTACTGCATAGCCGCGCGCGGCCACCGCCACCGCCACCACCACCACCACCACTACCACCACCACCACCACCACCACCAGCGCCACAGCCACGGCCACCCCACCATCGCCACTGCCACCGCCACGATTTGCAGGGGTACCCTGTTTGATCGATGACTGTTGCTGCTTGTCTTGGCGTTCCTGCCTCAAGCCATCAAGTGCTGCTGTCATTTCGCTTCGAATGTGCAGTGCAAGATCGGTGGAAGACGCTCGGCGAGTGCCATGGAGCCCAACACCCTGATGACGATTCGCGCGATGCGCCTAAACGGTGAGATGCTGGAGCTGAAGCTATCGGACAATGAGCTCGCAGATCTGCGGACGGTGAGGGACCTCAAGGCACGCCTGGCAGCCGCTGACCCCAGCAGCCCTTGTCCCTTGGACCGCCTTAGCCGGAGCCCATGCCTTCGGCTCGACTCCCAAGCAACCGCCACTGTGTCCGCCCCTAAGGGTCCATGTGCTCATATAGCATGCACGTAGGCCCGAAGGTAGTCCCTACATAGGTACTTCAGGGCCAAAGTATGTTCATAATATGGATACATGGACCGGCGCTATCATAAACCCAACTGCACTGCAGTGCCTTCCTTCAGCATTGAACCACGCAACACAAAAGCCACCCCAAGCCCTAAATCTCTACACTCCGAAGCGTGGCGTTAAACCATATAAGACATAGTAGCACACATATGACTTGCACTACATGTTATACTAGTGTTGATGATATAAATCCTGCACTACCTTAAGGACCTAAACTATGGGAATTATAGTATATTCCTTATTATGGGGTAATGCAGGATTTATGTCATATCCGTTTTTTCTTGTCCTAGGCGCCAGACTGGTCCGTCTCGTTGGCCCAAATGGAGACCTGCGGGACGACGAGCCGCTGCCCATGGCGGACATTGCAAACGGCAGCTCGGGGGCTCGTTTCTTTGTGGTTGGGGGGGGGGGCTTGGGGTTTGGAGTTTCGTTTTGTCAGGGTTTAGGGTAGAGGGTTTGATTGGAGTCTTCAGGGCGTTATATAGATGGTTCTGTAAGGCTCGGGCTCGCTTCGTGCGGCTTTTGTAGGGTCTTATTTGAGTCTATAGTCGTAGAGTAGGATATACTCCCCAAGGGTTCATCTTTATCGTTCCCTCTAAGGTACTGCACAAGCAAGTAACGTTTTTCTTTTTTTTTACCGGGGTGCTGCAAGGGCATGAGGATCTCTTGCAGGGGTTCTCTCAGTACGACTTTGGGATGGAGTTTACGGGTTTCCTACAGTCTCCATTGTAGTTCCTTTTAGGGTTACCTTATAGGATCCTTAATTTGAAATTGGTTAAACCAGAAAAAGGAACTACAATGGAGACTATAGGTAAGGTTTAGGGCTTCGAGTTTTTGGGGTCGAGGCTGTCCTTGGGTTAGGGTCTTATACTAGGTATCGGTTTGGCATAGTTTGTAGTTCCCCTTACTGTTTTAATGTAGAGCCCTAACTATAGATAATTTTAAACGCTGCGCGTCGTCCGCCTCGGCCCGGCCGTATGTTGGGAGGAAGACATGATGCCAGGTCCGGGGCTTTTGCTTTCGCAGGATGTGGGGTGCAGCGTCTGCGGGGTGAAGAGTGATAGGGTTTGTGCATAGACAAATTATATTTAACTATATATAACTATATATATACATACATACATACATACATACAAAAAATAAATGTATATATATATATATACATACATACATACATACATACATACATACATACATACATACATATATAAATATATAGATATAGATATAGATATAGATATAGATATATAGATATAGTGTGCTGTCGGGGGGGAGGGGGGGGAGGGGGGGGGATTTTGGTGCTCCCTGCCCCAGACAGCCCAAATCCAGTGGAGGAGGCGAAACTTCACCGCCGGACGTTGG